GTGTTTTTTTTTATTCGTACAACATACATTGCACATGCGTATTTAGTGGTTTTAAATTATATTTTCAAATTAGTTGGACAGTTTTGTGTGTCCTGTAAAAGCAACATTTTAAATTCATGATAAATATTGAACAATATTACAATATATGTATGCACTCAACACTGTACTGAAAGCCTGTTATCATTTTTAAAATTAGATTTATATTCCTTTCACAAGTACAGACTTATTTTAGAAAACATTTAATTGTAATACGACAACGGATGTAAGTGATATTGAGACACATAATTGGCACATAATGGCGCCAACATTTATTCATTCACAAAACGAACGAAGACCATATGCTGCCTACAAGGGCGCTGTTGCAGAACAACGGTCGTATTCCCCAAAGCGAGGCTGCTATATTTACTTCCGGCTTTTCTGTTCACTGGCGATGACGAGTTACACAGTCATCGTCACATGAATATAACTTAAAATAACTTTTCGGATTGCTTAGAATTTAAAAATAATCGTGAATATGTCGCTCTTCTCTAAGAAACCAACAGCTAAAGGTAAGAAAATTTAGTTTGTTTATCAGTTTCTTTACGCCTGTCTTACTGTACATTCTTGTTGACCGTTCATGAGACTGGATTGAAGCGAAGGCTTCTACATGTTCAGTTCAAGTGTATGGGCACGGTATACTCCGATTCCTATTAACCGTGTTTGTGGACCTTCGCGGGAGCGTAAAGCACCGTGGAGAAGCTCCACTACTGTTCCTTACACAAATGATCTTTGTAAATGTTACCCATATCCACCTAATATCGCGAGATCTATTGACTAAGTACCCATACACATCGTACTGCACAAAGATATTATTTATTAAAGAGTTCCTAGCTGTGAGGTGAATTTGTGTCATAAGTTACGCATTTTGGAAAGCATAATAATTGTAATATCATGGCCGAGGTCCTAAACCCATATTTATAAATGGGTATTCCCGATAACATGACTGGGAAATTATGGTAAAATGGCTGGGAAGCCTGAGTGTGCTACAACTTTGATATCTGAAGATTCTAACCTTTTTTAAAAATTTATTTGTGTTTGTAGAAGTACTGCGTGAGAATGACAGACAAATGAGGAGAACTCACAGAGATCTAGACAGAGACAGGGCTAAGTTAGAGAGACAAGAAAAATTATTGGTGAGTTATTCAGTAATACATGCATAATGAGCTTCACACTTTTCTTCATGTAAGTTAATTTCATTTACACTATTTCTACTTTTCATCTACATGTTAATCAAATGAAAAAGTTTATCTACACAAATGAAAATGTTATTTCATTGAAACATTTGATAACTGATTGATAATCAATAAATGTTGTGATCATATAAAGGGATATCTGATGACATGATTAGGTACTAAACATGATGTGTTTGTTTCATCAGGAAATGGAGATAAAGAAGGCAGCAAAACAAGGCAATAGACAGGTAACACTATTTCAGTAGGCATGATTACCAAAGTCATTTTGAAATAATATAACATACATTATTTTTTGTGGATATTGTTGACTGAAAAAGTATATCATTTGAATATTTTCAGAAACTGTCATACTACAACCAATGACAGGCTATTGTTTCTCTGACATATACAAACATTGAGTAAATACGATAGTAACTTTATTGCGTCCTTAGAAAAACAGTGTTTCTATCAGTTTATAGCAATAAAGATGTAATACAAACAACAGATAATGATACAAAATAAAAAAAAAAGAAAATTAATTCCGTGCAAGGAAGAATAAATTTATGAATTGATGATTATATTTTTGTTAGTACTTTCCATTAAGTATATAAATTGTGTGATCTCAGATGAAAATACAATGTTTGAAACATATCAGTTCAATGCTTTTGGTATTTAGGGAACATCATAAGAAAGTGTATTTCGCCTTCTATATGCTGAAGAGAGCATTGACTGCAGATTCTATTTTCTATTAGAGTATTCTTATCCTTTTCTATTACCAGGTTAAGGTTACTTGAATTGTTCTGAATCTAGAAACAGAAATATACATCCATGTATACATTACTTTATAAGTCATTGTAAATAATATGTTACGATTGCAGGCTGCCACCACATTAGCTAAGCAGTTAGTAGCCCTTAGAAAGCAGAAAACGAAAAATGTTGCTGTTGGTTCAAAAATAACCTCAATTAACTCACAAACCAAGGTAAGATAGAATCCATAATATTTTTTCAACCAGTGTCACTCGCCATGGTAATTTCAGTCGCTTCCTTCGTAAAACTGATGTGTTCTAAACGTTGTTATAATATTGATCAACAATTACATTGCTGCAATTCATTTCACTAAAGTAATATTGGCGTTCAGCGTGATAATAGTTTATTCAGCATGTATCTGCATCAGTAGTACCGGTATGTTGTGGATCAAATGAAATTTCTGTAGTATCCGAGAAGATAACAAATTTTCTCTTAATCTGTTTTTTGGGGAATAACAGCCTGTCAAAATGTATATATTTTCCATCATCATGTTTGCAGTGAATCAGAGCAGTAAAAGGAAATTTTTTCATATTGGAGGAACAATGAGCAATGATCTTGTAATGCTCATCGCAGTGATGGCAGTATTGATGTCACACCAAGTGGGGTAAAAACAAGATTTTTTTTTAAGGTCTGGAAAGTCTTTGAGTTGTTTTTAAATTACAGGAAAATCAAAAAATCCTTGAAAAGTCTTAAAATTTCTTCATAGTTATTACTGGGTAACGAGCATAGAGTGTTTTCTACCCCAGTTACGACAAGTGTCAGCAGTGATTGCTATCCCTGAGCCCGAATGAAAGGTCAAAATGTCTTAGAAAAATGCAAGAAAGTTCTGGAAAAGTCTTGGAAATCATTTGGCTCATGGTGCTATGGACCCTGGGTAAACATGTTCATACAAGAGCTGGGGTACAGTATTTATTTTCAAGTGAAATGACGATAATGTCATGTATTTTGTTTGATATTGAATTAGATTTAATTGTACTGGGAATTGCATGTTTATAATTCATAAAAACATCCAATAAATAAAAAATCAGCATTTACGAGGTGGCTGATCACCCATCAACAAACAGGGTTTCTCACACTGAGCGTCCATATTGTTTTGATTGCATTTGTAAAATCAATAGCAGCAATGTACCAGGTAATTGTTGGTTGCTGCAATCTGACAACTATGTTTAAAACAAATCAATTTTACAAAGGAAGCAACTGTGACTGAGCAAATTGCACACATATATCAATTCATATTCACCCAATCTATTCTATTCTATTTAAACACAGTAGAAAATGGGTCAAAACTACAAAAGCAAAATAACTCAAAAAAGACCAAAACCTATTATTAAATCTATAGAGAAAATTGTTATGAGGGTTATGACATCACAAAGTAAGCACAAGAACAGTAAAGTGTGTAAATCAATTGACAAGTAATGGAGGTTGATGAGATTGCGTTCCCAATTTATACTTCATGGTCTACTCATAATAACATTATTATTTTAATCGCAATTGCTTGGAGCAGAAGTCTCAAAAATGGTGAAAATTATTGTCACCTTCTTGCCGTGATTTTTTTTTTTTTTTTTACAAACATCAACCTTCTTGGAAATGCCACAGAAAAGTTGCATATTTGGAATTTACATTTCTTAATATGGGCAGTATGCAGATAGGATGTGTAATATATTGCAAAATTATGGCACATTGTGATACAATGCCATTTGTAAAATAATATTTTTTTTTTTAATTTACCAGGCAATGCAATCAAATATGAAGATGGCTGATGCTATGGCTAGCACTACCAAGGTAAATAGTCATTGCTCTATATACTACACTAGACTAGAATTTCATCAGCAAATAATAATCTCAATAATAACACTCCTTAAAACTTCCTGGTAATACCTTAGACAACAAGTGTAATAAATGAAGGATATCTCAAGATACCGTTGTTGTCCGAGTATAAACCCCTGTTCGAGTATAAGCTCCCCTCCAAATTTACAGCATTTTACAAAAAGTAATTTATCCAATTGTAAGGCCCCCCCCCCCTCCGGGGTCAGGCAAAATTATTTGGTATGTGAATAACGATTGTTTCCTTTCTGTGCTGGCCCCGAAAAGGGCCGTTAGATTTGTGTTTGAAATGCGTTCCCTGTAGTACCTGATTCTGCCGTAAATTCACACTGAGCAGTTTGTGTTTAAAAAAAAAAAAATGGGATCAAGAAATTGTCCAGGGCGATTTTTCGTCAGTTTTTAAAGTTGTTTTTTAAATATTTTGGCGTCATTTTTCGGACATTTCAATCTTTCCTGACACCTAAAATAGTCTATTTAAAAGCGTGTTTATTGTGACTATCAGTTAGCGTAAATGGGTAAGCTTTGTTTCGACAATGAGCTGTTATCACTGTAAACAATGTTAAATTATGCTACTAATGCTCAGTTTGTCTTTTGAAAACAACTATTTTTTGATTTGAAAAAAAAATCATGCCATTTTCCCATAAAAATTCAAGCCAAAAAATCGTACTATAACAACGGCAAATTTCTTCCGCGTTTAACATATTTAAATGAGCTTCGGTAATTTGAACATCCAGCATTTTTATTTGTTAATTACCGGTAGTGATTTGACCAATTAGGTCAACTCATGCAAGAGAAAGGACATGGCGGATACCCTACTGCATCAAGCGTATTTATGCGGCCGGAATCATTTGCTTATGATGAAACTAAGTTGAATTTTATTTGAAATTTATTCTTTGTACGTTATTATAATCACTGCTGAGTAATAATCAACATTTGTGAAACGCAGCATGACCAGATTGCTCAACTGTGATCATTTGCTGCTACGTAATGCAGTTGAGTTAGTTTTTATTTAAAACTTTGTTTAGAATATACTTTCGTTACCCCGAAATGTACAGACCAATATTCACGTGAAATGCAGGGTTGAATGCTGTTCCACTTATTAAACGCACTCACAAGTGATTAGTGATCCCGGGGCGTAACGGCCGATCCTCAAGTTAATTTGGACGATGCTAGTCGATGAAGACACTCTAGTATCGTACACAGGATGATTTGTTTATGAATAAATTAGCATAAATAATTGCTTGGGAGAAGTTTTAACTTTTATCCATTTATAAGCCTAATTTTTCGTCAACAAACCTCAAAGAAATATAAACCACCAACATTGTAAAATATCACTGTTGATTTGGTACTGCATATATTATGCAGTTCCCTCAGATTCAAGATTCAGTTTTAATCTTACTCTGTAGTGCTAAAATGGACTTGATGATGCTCATTAGAGTGTTCAATCAGTATTAACTTCACTTAATTTGGTTCAATTGAGCTAGATGCCTTCACTAAGCTAAACCATTGAAAATTACCAGTGTCATATTTATATGGCCCATGATGCTGTTAAAACGAAATACAGTGAAACCATAGTATGAACCTTGGCTAAACTAGACATGTGAACATGTGGCCACCCTACAGAATCATTGTATCAGTCAGTCTAGGCAGGTTTCACTGTATATCCATATGAATCAGTCATAATAATTGCAGTGTTCAGAGTCACTTCATTTCTATTTCCTGGTAATGGGCTTAATAAATAAACACTGAATTGGATACTTCATTACTGTATCTTTTTCCAGGTAATGGGCTCAATGAATAAACAGATGGATGCAAAACAGGTTTTAAAGACAATGCAAGACTTTGAAAAAGAATCCACAAAAATGGAAATGACAGAAGAAATGAGTAAGTAGACATTTCAAATATTTTCTTAATTCACTACATTTAAAAATCAAATGTCTCTCTAGAAATAATTTCACATGTAAGCAGTGTTAAATTGTAACAAAATAGTGACTGAAATACATCATAACAACCGTATAGACTATTACATTGGTCCATACACCATCTCCATATTTCCAGTCAGTGACTCATTTATCCATACTTTCATTATTTCCAGTCAATGACACATTTATCCATACTTTCATTATTCCCAGTCAATGACACATTTATCCATACTTTCATTATTTCCAGTCAATGACACATTTATCCATACTTTCATTATTTCCAGTCAATGACACATTTATCCATACTTTCATTATTCCCACTCAATGACACATTTATCCATACTTTCATTATTCCCAGTCAATGACACATTTATCCATACTTTCATTTTTATCAGTCAATGACACATTTATCCATACTTTCATTATTCTCAGTCAATGACACATTTATCCATACTTTCACTATTCCCAGTCAATGACACATTTATCCATACTTTCATTATTTCCAGTCAATGACACATTTATCCATACTTTCATTATTTCTAGTCAATGACACATTTATCCATACTTTCATTATTTCCAGTTAGTGACACATTTATCCATACTTTCATTATTCCCAGTCAATGACACATTTATCCATACTTTCATTATTCCCAGTCAATGACACATTTATCCATACTTTCATTATTATCAGTCAATGACACATTTATCCATACTTTCATTATTCTCAGTCAATGACACATTTATCCATACTTTCACTATTCCCAGTCAATGACACATTTATCCATACTTTCATTATTTCCAGTCAATGACACATTTATCCATACTTTCATTATTTCTAGTCAATGACACATTTATTCATACTTTCATTATTTCCAGTCAGTGACACATTTATCTATACTTTCATTATTTCCAGTCAATGACACATTTATCCATACTTTCATTATTTCCAGTCAATGACACATTTATCCATACTTTCATTATTTCCAGTCAATGACACATTAGATGAAGTATTTGATGAATCTGGTGATGAGGAGGAGCAGGACGCAATTGTCACACAAGTACTTGATGAGATTGGTATTGAGATATCTGGCAAGGTAGGATAGTCACAACGTAATGACAGGATTTCCTTTCAAACATGCATTAAACACATCACAGTCTGTAACAAATAAACATCAAGTGAAGTGCATGAGTGAACTAGGTTATGTGTTTGTCAGTGAGTGCCATATCCTTGAATGTCATTGAATACAGGTGTGCAATGAGTTGAAGCTAATAATTCAACCTTTGTGGTGGTTCCATTGAATAATGAATAAGTAACTCTAGAAAAAGGGTGAGTCTCCCCAAGTGTTATCATGGTTTAGTCTTGCATTCTGCAATCATAACAATTATAGCTGCATTTTCTAAGGTGGTACTATTAGTTAACACGTCATCTGCTGAAAGCCTCCATTGATAGCCAAGATGAATAGGGAAAAATTGCATCAACTGGCAATGTGTTAACTTTTTATGAGGCACAGAGAAAGACAGACTTTTTAGTCCCCGTTCGGACGTAGTTCGAAAACAGGGACTTATGTTTTGCCCTATGTGCGTCCGTGCGTGCGTCCGTGATCACCTGTATCTCGAACATGCATGGACCGATTAAGTTCAAACTTCACTCATACATCACATATTATATGGGACATATGCACATGCATTTTTTTCATGATCCGATTAACGATAGCCGAATAGCGGCCATTTTAAGGCCGAAAATGCATCAAAATCCCACACATTTT